GAGCCATCTCTCCTACCCTAAATCTTAAAAATAATACTGAGCAGAAAAGTTATAGGTGAATTATATGATATAAATTTATTTATGAAGTTGAAAAATAAACAAAACTTATATTGTAGTAAAACGGTTTACGATTTTGCCATCAGGGCTAGCGGCAAAGTAGTGTACTATTCTTCCAAGGGAGCCGAGTCTTAGCACCCACAGCCAGTGCTCACAATCTCCTGGAGCACCAGCAGCTTCAGGGAGATCTACCACCTCCAGCCTCCATGAGCATCTATACTCATGTGCACATACTCACACACATGCACATAATTAATTACAAATAACAAAAACAAAAAACTTGCTGGATTGTGGTGGCGAACGCCTTTAATCCCAGCACTTGGGAGACAGAAACAGATGGATCTCTGTGAGCTCAAGGCCAGGCAGGGCTACATGAGATTGAATCAGTCTAAAATAGAAACAGAGCTCATGCCTTTAATGCCAGCACTAGGGAGGTGGAGACAGGAGTGATTTGGCTGGGCGGAGAGAGGAATAAAAGGCAGGAGGAGACAGGAACTCATTGCAGTCTCAGTGAGTCCGAGGAGCAGTGCAGTCAAGTCTGAGGCTCGGTGTACTGCTCGCCCCTTAGATCTGAGCATTGGTGGAGGTTAGAACTCTCTAGTGGCTGACTGATTTGCTTTTTTGATCTTCAGCTTTAACATCAATATCTGTCTCTGGGTTTTTATTATTTGTGCTATATGGATCTCTGTGAGTTCAAGTCAGTCTGGTCTACAGAGTGAGTTCCAGGACAGCCAGGGCTACTATTACACAGAGAAACCTTGTCTTGAAAAAAAAAAAACAAAAGCAAAACCAAAAAAAAAAAAAAACCTTAAACACTGTAATGAATCAAGATGATAATAATAAATGTAAATACCTCTAATAGCAGAGAGAGAAATAAACAACAGGTAGGTAAATGGAATGGCATTGATGATGGTGTAAGTTGAGAAGTAGCTTTTAGTGTTCCATTTTATTTGTATCCTTCATAACACACATCTGTGTGATATATTTTTTATTTATGTTAAGAATTACATTAAAATAAGTGCTATTAAATAACATTTTCACATAATTTGGTCATGGTAGAGCCATGTGAGATGGCTGTGTGTAGAATGAGCATGACTAGCAGACCACCTAAGGAATGCATTTACTGGCAATGATTCAGTCTGAGCACAGTATCACCACCTCTGAAGGCACAGGCAGCAAAACCGGGAAGGTGTTCAGCAATGACTACATTTCTTGTTTTTGAGACTTTTTACCTAAAAAACACATTGTGAGATGTGTCTAAATGGGTCTAAATGCAGAGACTCCCCTCCCACCAATCGATCCAGGGTTCCCTCACCTCCCCTCTAGGTTTTATTGGATGAAGAACCAAAAAGAAGCAATCCCAGCTAATAAACACAGGTAGCTGGAAAGAATTCTCAGAAGGAAAAGAGCCACAGGGAGAAACCCCAAGTTATATAAATAAACTTTGTCCCAACCTCTGGCTATCGCCTGAACTGTAAGAACAATATAAGGCGTGGGGCATGTGCCCCAGGACCTAAACTATGGACAGGGCTTGAAACCATTCTGACCCCCAGGGAAGCATTAATGATAGTGTGGCTGTGCATCTAGGCCTTAGGACACAGAGTTTCTGTATTGTCCATGAAAACATCTGAGGCTGGCACCCTGAGAAGTCAGGTCCTCACTGCACCTTGCCCTTCAGTCCTCCTTTCCATCACCCACTAGATGATCAATGGCTGACTTCATCAGGCAAACAGCCCAGTTCCACTCGAATGCCCGACTCACAAAATTGTGAGGTCTAAGAAAGTGAAGCCACTGCTTGGGGCAAACATGTGCCACAGCAACAGATAACCAAACACAGAGAGGAAAACCTAAGTAGCTATTATACTACAAGAGGGAGCTGGCTTACTCCTTCAATAATAAATACAGTAGCTATTTCAAACACCAATCTCTATTTATAATTATATCCATATTTCCCATGTAAGCTTTCCAGTTATTAATAGAACAAAAAAAGTTCAACATATTGGTTTGTGATTTAAGTCAACTAGCAAAGACATTTCAATTTTTCACTTAAAGAGGAATACTGAGATTAACAGAAAACATTAAAGTTGAAGATTCACCAAATCCCATACTGACTATGTTTCAGAGTTTATAATGGGCAAGCAGACTTATGACTTGGAGTGAAGAATTATTCAAAACAATTACATTTTTCTGAACATGGAAAGTTTTTCTAAGTTGGACCACTTTAAATGCCTTTCCCTTTACGTGGACACACCCACCTACTTTTCTACTAAACCCACATCTGCAGATCAGGAAGCAGGATCTTGGACTTGAATTTATAAAAGTGTTCTAAAAAGAAAACTTCCTCTCTGAGAGCTTAATCCTCTCTTACAGTCAGACCCAGCAGTCTCAGTCACGGGAAGAAAGACTGTGGGAGTGGAGGCAGGTGCAGAGGGGTGAGGGGCTACAGGAGCCGGTTCCAGCCACTTCCTGTGGGCAGTGCACGAACCCTGCACAAGCATCCTGAACAGAATCAAGGACCCTTAGCCAGACCACAGAGCCTGGGGCCCTTTTAATTAGCTGCTTTTGTCTCAAATTATGAAAAAGTTTTTTCGGACTCCAGCTGAATCTTTTGTGGCCTCCTGATTCAAACAGAAGAAAATGTCCCTGGTGCTAAACATGAATGAATAGGAACACACAGTCAATAAAACTGCTACAGGAATAAATTTCTTCTCTCCTAAAATTTCAACTTTAGAGAAATAATGCTGTCCAGTTGCCAGAGCAATGAGAGGCTGTGGGCTAAGCCATACAATGACCCACAATATCTAGGCTGGAAGTAAAATGATTCCTACGGTAGGATGCTGCGCTAACATTCAACACTTCTTACTGCTTGTCTGAGGTCCTTCCATCTGCTGAAGACAGAAGCACCACTGAGCAAATCATATTTAAGGGAAAAGTGCTGACAGCTCATGAGTTGATTTTCAATGAAAATGCTAAAAAAATTAATAAAGAAGTTAAGCTGTTGAAATACAGTTTCACCAATTAGCTTAATGTCAGAGAATTCTAATTAGGCGTCTTGAGATTGCTATTTAGTGTTTAAGCCTTCAGAGTGCCAAATTCTCCTTTTCACACAAACTGGTTGCAAAATTAAAGACATTAGGCAGCCTTAATTACATTATCAGAACAGCTGGGATTAGGCAATCTCTGAAGTCAAGACGGCATTCTTTTGTCCTGGGATGGAAATCCCTGGCTTTCCAGGGTGCTGGATTTTGGTGCCATTCCATATCTCACCCATACAAAGCAAGCTGCATTAGAAACAAAAAATTTGCAGACAAAGAACAGAGTAACGCGCAGCAAATAATGAACACATTACCGAAAAAGAAAAGGTAAGTGCAAAGATTAAGCCTGAAATCAGTAGGTTTTGCTAACACCTACTGGCAGCTGGCCTGGCAACCCTCTGGTGACAGTCAGACTGAGGAAAAGCTCACTAGGCCAGTGGAGACAACTCTGTTATCTAAAGCTAAAGCACATTTGCACTGCCGCATCCTATGGGTGGGAACTAGCAGCTATTGTTTTTAGACATTTTTGCCAACACAATACCTTTTATGTGCTTACATTGTTCATTAAGCTATGTTTTCTTGCATGAGGGAGTCCTCTTTTTAATTCCAATTTCCTAAGCAACAGGATATCCTCTTTGGCCTCCTCCTTATTCCCTTCCATATTCCTCTAAACAACCCCCCACTTTTTTTCTTTTAAGGACTCACTTAAGAGCTTTTTTTTTAATTGAAAAGTGGTGAAAATGAAGATTAGTAGTAGGGATACTATAAATCCTTGCAGAGTGAGTAGTCAATCTGAATGCGGTAAAAAAACCAAACCCCTGCTGAACAGGCATCAACCTTTAACCAAACAGCTTCCCCACATTCCAGATACTGACTCTTCATAAGCCTAAAAAACTGTTCTAACTTCCAAAACCTAAATTTCAATTTTAGTTGTGGGGCTAGACAGATGGTTTAATCGGTAAAGGTACTTGCTACCAAGCCTGATCAATTCCCAGCACCCACACGGGAGAGGGAGAGAACCATTCCACAAGTTGTCCTCTGATCTCCACTGTGCACACACCAACTTACGCTCACACCCCCACCCCTGAACATAATCACAATTAATTTTAGTTGTGGGATGTCCCTGATCTGTCCAGCCCTTCTGGCCAGCCCATTCTTGGCCTGATCATCTCCAAGTGTCCTCTCCCATCTAAAACCCAGCTCATGTCGCCCGACTAAAACTGCACAGTGGTTTTCCACTCCATGCAAAATGAAATCCAGATCCGTGAGCTACGGAGTCTAGAAATCCCACCTCTGCCCAGTTACTCACTCACACATGGTTTCAGAACTTGACTGAGGCTGGAGAGATGAATCAGAGGTTAAGAGAGTCCTGCTCCTGAAGTGGACAGACTTCCAGTGCCAGCCCCCAAGCAAGGCAGCTCACAACCACCTGTAGTTCCTGCTCCAGGGGATCTGATGCCTTGAGTCTCCTTGTGCACCTGATCTCATGCACACTACACACACACACACACACACACACACACACACACACACACAAACCTCTGTCTATCTTCCTCCTGTACACCTAGGACCAGTACCTAGGAGCAAGCCTGGAACATAGAGGTATCTAAGAAACATTTGTTAATTGAAATTAAATTGTTAATTATGACAACTGTTAATTTCACTTAAAGTCACATTTCTCTTCCAACATTACAGGGTTGGAGCAAGGGAAAACATCTCAACAAAAAATTAAACACAGGTGACACATTACAGGGCTATTTAAAGAACACAGACTACCCATGGTTAAAAAAAATCTAAGTCATATGCAAAAGTTATACTTCAAAACTACATACAGTGTCTAATAGATTTGTATGTCCATATCTAAAGTGACTAAAAAAATACAATTCTTCATGAAGATAATTAAAGTACCTGTCCGGCCAATTCCAGTCGCTTGTTACCATAATAGTCTCTGTCATCGACTTTATTGTCTCCTTGGGCCAGAATCACCCTTCGCACCATGACTGCAGTGTAGATGCACTTAGCTCGGAAATTGAATTCCTTTACCTGTAATTCAGAAATTGGAGAAACATTCTGAGATGGTGAACGCTAAATTAAGGTGCCTCATGCAGAGAATCAATGTTATTACATTCAAATAAGAAAGAAATGAATTGTTGTAATTCTCCCTATTTTAAGAAATTCAGCTAGTCTATAAACTTCCCGAGAGGTATTCAGACTCTCCAACTCTGCATTCACTGCCTTATGTAGTTTTCCTTCAAGGATAACTAAGGTAACTGCTTTGCTTCCTATGCCCTCACACCACTCAGTCACTGCCCATAGTGGACTAGCCTATGATGAGTCTGACTGAGACACGGCAGAAATGATGCCAGGCCAGGTCTCTCCAGTCATGAAGCACACTGGCACAGTCACTGTCTTGAGTCCTGAGACATGACATGACTCCAGTCTTGGCTGCCATTTGCAACTTCATGACAGGTCCAAGACAACAAACCCTCTCCAACTCTGGGTTAGGACTAGTGAACACAGACCAATGAAGATACAACACAGTTTTGTTCAGCACCAAGGTTTGAATCTCCTTGTTATGCAGTGATAATAAATAGTTTATTTCTCAGGTACTATTACAGAACTTTGTATTCCAGTTTATTTTCCTGGCCTTAATGTTGGGTAAGTTGTGTTGATTATTTAACTCTTCTGGCTGATTAATAATAATAGTTGTTCTGCTTATCCATGAGAAAAAGATTTTATTAATAACATTTTAAATTTTCAACAAAGCCCAGTTCACATTCCCTTTTCACATACATAAATACTAGTGGACTTACAGGTAGAAGTGAACATGAATTATTCATAGCAACCATCCCTATTACATTCATGGTTCTCTAGCTCATTTTACCCACCTCCCCTTTTAACTATTATATACATGAAACCCAACCCTAGAGCTAACAGAAATTATTTCACTCTGAGTACATTTTCCCAAGACAATGTCCACAATCATGTGGAAAGTGGGAGCCCTCTACTCTAATGACTGTACATGACTTGCAGACTTCTAGTAGCAGTGCAGACATTCCTTGGGGGCTGCTAACATGAATTACCTGAAATGGATGAGAAGCTCTAAAATGGAATGCTAGAACAGAACTGTTAACAGAACCCAGAAACTTCTGAATAACACCCCTCTTAACAGTTAAGGTTTTCCAATCTGTATATTGGAAAACATGTACCCTGAAGACTTGCTAAAATACATATGGCTAGGCTGAGGCTTGTTCTGGAGTTTCTGACTCAGCAGGTCTAGGGAGAGTTTCACTATTCCTCACAAACTCCTGGGTGTTAGCATGAGAGTGCTCTTGAGCCTGGGTCTCAAGAAGAACAACAAACAGTTGCTGTTTGTTGTTGAAGAACAATAAACAGTAGTGCTTTACATTGGTAATACCTCATGTTCCTGTATTGCCCTCAAAGTTTCAACTTATGTTAAAAACAAACAAAAAAACTGTCTTAAACTATTTGAAAACTCTAAGTTTTTTCCTAATTCATCTACTCTTTACTAAAATATGCATAGCCAAAATTTAAAAACAATAGTTCAATCTCTTTTGCAGAAGCGCAAAGGAATTATGCTTTATGTCTCAAATTTAGTAAAGGTCTGCACAGCCAGCATGGTCAACAAGGCTCTTTCTGCCATTACAGTCTAAGGTAAGCCAGGCTCCTAATGTATCTTGGAGAGCTGGGAAATAGAGCTCTCTGTGTAGGCTGTACCCTTAAATCATCACAAGAGAATTGGGGGAAGTAGTGCTACTTTATAACCTAAGTTCAGAAAACTTCAAATTAGTGCAAGGAAAACCAAGAGTTCAAAACCAGGATCTGATCAATCATATCTCTAGCTCCAAACCTCTTCCTGCTCCCTTTATCCACTTTTACTGTTTTGAATTTTAAAATCTTTTCAATCATCCAAAAGAGCCTAAAACCCAATGAAACACAGCTTCAATAATAAGAATTTTATAATTCTCTGAATTAGATCACAGACATACAAGCAGAAGCCACAGAGCAGTGCAGACATATTTCTTATTTGCTCCAAGTATTTTAAGGTAAGAAAACTGAACCTGAAGGCCACTACAAGGCCAGTCTACATCCATAGATTCCCTGAAGGTATAGTTGTAACCCTGGAATTATATCATCCAGAATGAAACACTTGGGAGCTCTGATATAGCAAAAGGGGCACATACACTCACTGATGGAGAGGATGGCTCCTGGAAATAGCCCACACACCACTCTGGCTAACCTATAATGATAAGTTAACAGAAAACAAACACCACCCACTTCAAGGCCAGTAGGCAAGCTCTAGCTTCTCTCTGTTCACTCACCAGTCAAGTGATAAAGCAAGTCACCCAGTTGTGGATGAGAGAGAGTCTTCCCTATAAGTGAGAGAAGCTGGAAACTCTGGAGTTCAAGCCAATGAACATTTAAAAAAATGATACAGCCAACACTGAATACCAATACTGCTAATAATGGAAACTAAGTCCCAACAGGGCAGTACAGTCTAGAATTAGCTCTTGGGGATACACTTCAAACAGTATAAACCGTATTGCAGAGCCCTTGGGAGGAATTCAGGAATCTTGCCAACATCATTCATAGCTGGCAATTACTCACTGGTACATGGGTCAGAATGGTTGAAGCCAGGAGTTCTCTTGCTTCTTCTATTTTTGTTTTCTTTGGTCCACCGCCCCACATTCTTTGTCTTCTTACTTTATTCCCTATATATTTTAATGCCTATAAAAAAAACAAAGTAGTGTTTGAATTGCATCACTGCAGACATGTTGCTACAAGCAAAGGCAGCAAGGACCCTGGTTACACAGATTGTTGTATTGGGAACAATCATTCAACATCATGAATCAATAACAAAATTCAACAGCACACTGACTACCTAATACATTGGTTCCCCTTTGATTTTTAAATTGTCTTATTCCTATAAAATTGACACATAATTATTTATAAGGAATTGAGAAACCATAGAGAAAAAATGTGTTTGTATGCATCTATAAGGCAGCCACCAATTCTTCATTCATATCACTGTGAAATACGGTAGTTCCCACCACACACACACACACACACACACACACACACACACACACACACACACACACAGGAAACCATGTTAAGATCTCTACACTAAGAGCTGCAGAGTAAACAAAACCCAAATAAATGCAGGATGAAATGAACTAAAAGACTTTATAACATGACTTACAGTCTAAATTCTTTCTAAATTAACCAATAAATTCATAGTAAATCATTGTATTCCCAACAGGCTTTAAAAAATCCAAAATGTTTTATTATAAAGTTTCAGATTCCATAATTCACATGGATGGATATACAAAGGACTTGGATACCTGAAACAAACATGGTTTTAACTGTAAAACTACAGTAGCCAAGCACTAATATCACAGGCCTTTAATCTCAACCCTTGGGGGGCAGAGGCAGGTGGATCTCTATGAATTCAAGGCCACCCTGCTCTATATAGTGAGTTCAGGGTCTGCCAGAGCTACATAGAGAGACCCTGTCTTGAAAAACAAAAAACAAAACCTCAGTAATAAAAATGATATGACACTGGCATGTAGAAAGAAAGATGGAAACAAATCACAAGTCCCAAACACCTCATACTGAGAGGTCAACGAACTCTTGACAAGCATCAAAGCAAGCCAACAAGAAAGAAACTGCTCTTTGAATAGGTGGTGGTAAACCATAACTCAGTACCCAAACAAGAACAAGGAACCCGGGCCTCCATATCACACCAAAAGGAAAAGCTAATCTCAGCTAAGACTTTAGACCTGCCAGGTGGTGGTGCACATGGCTTTAATGTCAGCACTAGGGAGGCTGAGGCAGTAGGATCTCTGAGTTTGAGGCTAGCCTGGTCTACAAGGTGAGTTCCAGGATAGCCTGGGCTACCTAGTCTTGAAAAATAAAAACAAAAACAAAACAAGACTTTATATCTAACATGGGAACTAAGACTATATGACTTCTAGAAAAAAGATACAGAAAATATCCTAATTTGGAGGAGCAAAGACCTCCTTAAATAGGATAGAGAAGAGTAATGATTGCAAAAGACAAAACAAACTTTTTGGATAATTGTTTTTTCCAAAGGTAAAGAATACTGTCAAAGAAAAAAAAAAAAAACAGAGAAGCAATGAAAGAGGCGACAGTGTTTACAATATAAAAGCTGGATATGACATTTATATCCATGCTTCATTTTTGGGGGTTGTTGTTTTTGTTTTTTTGAGACAGGGTTTCTCTGTGTATCCCTGGCTATCCTGGAACTCATTTTGTAGACCAGGCTACTTAATGAAAAAAGTAAAAAAATAAATAGTTCAAACCCCTCACAAAGAAAATTAGTGACTGATTCACACATGAAAAGTGCTGAAAATAATTTGCCACCAGAAATGAATCTGAAGGACACAATAAGATAATGCTACACACTTGCTACAGCATCTAAAATTAAAAAGACACAACACCAAATACTGTGAGAACAAGAAGCAATCAGCCTTGTATACTACAGTCAGTAATACAAAATGGTATGATCATTTGGGGATTGGGAAAGTTTGGTAGTTTCAACTTCAGAAAAGTTAAATATGCACTGTTCTCTGGCCTAGTAATTCAACTACTATTTATTTGCCCAAAAGAAATGAAAAATTGTCCATACAAATATTTAATGGTAGCACTGTTCATGAAAGCAAAAGAAAAAAGACCTAAATGACCATCAACACAAAAAGGGAAAAACTGGTAGTCCTACAATAGAATATTATTAAGCAATAAATAAAGGGACAAACAACATGGACAAACAACATAAAAAGGAACAAACAAAAATCCTTGGGAAAATTTTGGACAGTATGCTTAGCAAAAGTTAGACACACATACACAACCTAATTCTATATATAAATCTCTGAAACAAGATAAAATAATATCTGGGGTGGGGGGGGGTCAGAGGTGGAGGTGAAAACCGAAGGAACGTAAGGAAACTCGTGGAAAAAAACTCTTGTCCACTTTGTAAGGGTACACTACTAAGAAGTTACATACTCTAGATAAAGGTAGACACTGAAGTACTCACATAGTGTCTGCTTAGTAAGCAACAACAAAGGAGCTGACAGAAGCAACCCCACTTGGCAGAAACACCAGTAAAGAGGCAGCTTGATGCGCTCTAAACTGAGACGTTCTCCTTTGGAAATGGGTGCAAGATTCCTCACTCAGAGTTAAAAATGAGAAGGGACACAAGGAGAGGGGAATCCCTTCTGATATTACACTACTGTCTCTTCCCTGGGTACATAACAATGTCACCTTCTCACAGTGTGAGGGCTGCAGAAACAGCCTACCAAGGTAGGACAAAATATTATTCCTAGCAACATCCCCCAAAAGGCAATGAATACCTTTTTGGTACACCAGAGAGCCCCTGACAATGATGAAAACATGTAATAGAGCTAAGGCTTCAGAACAGAGGAAATGGTGGAGGCTAACAACAAGCATGAAACAGAACACTTACATTTTCAGCAACCAACTGAAATACCACATCTTCAAAGGGCTATTTGTGGTGTAACAGTTTCCTGCAGAATTTAAACATCCCATCTCACAGAGAAGCTCCTTGAGCAGGCAGGTAAACAACTTAAGACAGCTTCAGGAAGTCCCTGAAACTGAGCAGATTCACTAGGCCCCTCCCTGTCAGAGTAAGCAAATGAAGCTGGGAGTTCCTCCAGGACAAGCAGAACTGCAAAGGAGAATGAGAGAAAAAAGCTTCGAAGAGGACATAAGACCAGCAGCCTGGAAGAAGCAGAAACCAGCTGAGCTGCCTGGAAGAGCTTTAGACCAGAGTCAACTGGAAAAGACACACTCAACCTGCTAAGCTGCCGGCAGGCTGTGCAGTGTACTCCAGGTTCCAGCTTTTGTGAGATGTCACCCATGCCTAGGTGGGCTTTGGTGATGCATCTCTGCTCCTCACCCATACTCTTCCAATAACACTCACTGATTCACCAAGTTTGACTTTGGTGTTATTCATACTTTGGTCTGTCCAGAGGTCCTAATCTGGGTCTGTGTCTCCCCAGGAAAAGTTCTGTCACAACACTATTCCACCATAAAGTGCACTTTCTCCGTCTCTATCCAGAACAAGAGAGACCAGTCATGCTTTCAGAACGAATACTATATGTTCGATATACTAAGCATTTTGGATTATTATTAGCCTAGCACACAAAGCAAATTCATACTTTCTGTTCAGGGAAACAAAACATTTCTCTTTCTGCAGTTAGTAATTATCTTTCTTCCATCTTTTCTCTGACCTAACCTAATTGAGTTAGTGGAAATGTTTCCATCAGTATCTACTAACAGACACAATGTGAGTTTCCATCCACTGCAGCCCTTGCTTACACAGCTCTACAATGCTGAAGGCTATCTGGCCAACCATGGCTAAAGTGTGGAAGGAAACTACCAGAGCCCTCTGTTACCATTAGAACACTCTTTTGTCACAGACAGAACAGCAAGTCTCCCAAATCTGAGCCCATACTTCCTGTTCAAAGGACAAGTGTTCATTTCCTACTTCCTGTTCATTTCTTAATGTTTCCTCTCTATGTTCGTAGAGCCCTGGACATGATTTCTTGATTTTTTTTTTTTTTTGTGAAGATTCATGCCTACCAAATATTTCATTTTCAAAAAAGGCCCAAAATAGTACTTCCAAATAAAAATAACGTTTCCTGATGTTATTTGTCCAATTATTTGGGTAATTCTCCACTAACCATGGAGAAAGAGTAAAGCAATAAGGAACAATCCCTAGTGATTTGCTTTGGAATTACACATACTTATAATGACACCAACCTTCCTAAGGGCATGACTTCATCTAAAAACCATAAAGACTGATTTGATTTCAAAACATATAAACAGACATTAAGTGGGAATGTTCTCTCTACATCCATCCAGGGTGGCCAGAAGAAAGAAACCCAGGATTTGTATTTTCCTGTAAGAAATTCACAGTAGACAATATACATATGGACAAATTCAAGCCACCTAATCTAGTTCTATAGGAGGGCATCCCTAGCTCCCAGAGGGCATGTGGAATGCCACAGACTCAGAGTCAGCAAAACACCTATGAATATCAGACTAAAAAGCTCAAGTACTATGAGGACTCTCCCACATGAAAAAGGAAGTATGATTAGTTTTCAAAATTATGTTTACACACATGGAGTTCCCTAACATTATCTTTGAGTCTTGTCTTTAGATTCCAAAGTTCTCATCAGATGTACCTGACAAAAGGATCCTTCTTGATATTGAAATAATCAGGAATTCAGAAAATGGGATAGAGACCGAATAGATAAATTAGAAGCTGAGGAGTGAAATGAGTATTAATAGCTAAGGACACAGCTCATTGGTAGGATACCTGCAATGCAAGTACAAAGCCCTGGTTTTGGTCCCCGCTGTGCTAAATGAGAAATGTCTGCCATAGCCCATGTATTTGAACACCTGGACCCCAGTTGGTGGTTATGGAACCTTCAAGAGGTAGAGCTATGTTGGAGAAGTATGTTACTGGGGGTGGAATGTGAAGACAGCCTTGCCCTAATTCCTGCTCTGTCCCTTCTTTTTGTCAATGAAAATGTGATTGACCAGCTTCCTGCCCCTGCTACCATGTTTTCACCACCATTATGGACTCTATCTCTCTGGAACTGAAAGCCAAAATGAACTCTTCCTTTAGTTGCTTTTGGTCATGGTGTTTTATCATAGCAACACCACCACCACCACCACCACCACCACCACCACCACCACCACCACCACCACCACCACAACCAAAAGGATATCAAAGAGAAATGAAAGAAGACCAGTGTCAGATTAGAACTGCCGGAGTTTTAAAGTGGACTCTCCCTTAAATGAATAGGGGAGATGGTGCTTGTTACTGAGGCACACAAGAAGCCTCCTCTCCACAAAGCCCTCTTCTGAAAACTTAAGAAACCACAGGCTGATGACTGGCTCAGGCAGACTCCTTGTTCCAGTTTATAGAAGTGAGTCAAAAGAACATTTGTGTTGCTAGTCTCAACTCCCCTCCCAAACCTACACCCCAAAGCCACTGCAATGGTGGCTTATTGAGATGAACAACACCGAAGTCTCAATCCACAGCAACGGACACCATGAAAAGCACACCTGCATCTGTGTGAAAATCTGAGCTTTCTGGCACTCCTCCAAGCTGGGCCCAAATGCAGCCATCACGTGCTCCTCTGTTCCAATCATCTGCACAATTTCCTGGTCACTCTCAACACCCATGGCCTAGGAGGGGAAGAAAAGACGGAGAGCATTGGCTTTGTGTTCACTCACTGACATTTGCTTATGCTAATCTGGCATTGTTTGTGGGTATTACTTCTAAGCAAAAGCCAGCTCTTTTCTCAGAAATGGTGCCATCTGGCACTGGCAGCCATATCCCAAGCTGCACGAGAACCTGAAATAGAAATTGTCATTAGGAAAAGGAAAACAAACATCCTCAAGCATGTCTGCATGTATACAACCATCCCATTTTTTCGAAATATTCTAATAGTTTCACCACGAAGAACTGAGGCTGGGAAGGAAGTCTAGTGGAGAGGCCTGAACACAGTAACAACAGCAAACCCAAAGCAAAACCCCCAGAGGTAGCAAGTCAGAAATGAACATTGCTGAAAGTGTGTGAACTAGGAACCTTCTTACGTGCTGCAAGCTGCATATCTCTGTAGTCCTACATGGTCTTGTGCTCACTGACTTACTCAGACACTTGGCCAGAACGATTCCCTGTGGAAAGACACAGCGTAATCCCACTAGCCCTCTGCTGGTGTGGTAATGACCTGCTTCTTGGAAGTCAGAGGAAAGTCGTGTTTGCATTGAAATGTCTTCCTTCTGCTTTGAGAGAAAGACCAAGGCAGAGGATAACTGTCTAGTCAAGCTTGTCACTTGTCTTCCTTTCAGTTTTCTTCCACACAAAACAGAAGGAAATGGAGTTTCCAGCTCCAATGCAGAACTGCAAAGGCACTGTCCTGTAACCCACCAAGAGGGCATCTATCTAGAACCCTAACCCTTTAGTATTCTTCTGAGATAATGCCAACTCTATTCTGTCATATAGTTTCTTCTACCTCAGTACCAAGGGACCCTGCTAGCTCAGAGTTCTATGATCATCCACTTGACTTTCAAGACTCTGAAGACCTGGGGGATGCTCAGTAGCTGCTATGTTCCTCTCATACCAACTGAGGGGAGCTTGAAAATGTCCCCCAAACCCCTATCAACTCCTCTGAGCACAGAATAAACTTGGTACCCCCTCCCTCCACCACCACCACCCCGCCCCTCGTGGGAAGAAATGGCCTACTAAGCTTTGGAGGCATGTCTTTACAGGGACTGCAGTTTCCTATTCGCTCCCGCTGCCAAATCATGAGGGAACCCGCAAAGAATGTGAGGGGTTGAGAGGTAAAAAAACAAAAACCTTACAGCTTCTTACCATGTTGACAGTTGCCCAGCTCTAACTCAGCATCAGGTGACAACAAACAGACAGATATACAGATAACAGAAAGACCCTGAACCAGAAGCCCCCAGCCAAATAAACCCCAAATTTCTGACCAACAGAACAAAGATATGTTTTTGTAGTTATTTCTGAACTGACATACCCCTCCTGAAGGGAAGATAAAGGCTAATAAAACTCAGGAAACTGAGGAGACTTAGGGGGTTCAAGAAGCTAAGGCATGGACTTCCAGAGTATTCCATAAAGACTAAATCCTTCCTACTGGGTAACTAAGAGGCAGAGGCTGTGACTCAGTCAAGTATTGTCAAAAGAGCCTCAGCTCCAAATACTGAATCAACTTTAGCACTGTTTAGCCTTCAGCAGTCATGGCTACAAATAAATGACATATCACCATGGAAACAAACAAAATGCCCATCCATTTCACTTTACAGATAAAATGTAGACACCTGAAAACTAACATTATGTGGACCTCTTTATAATCCTGAGCCCTCATCACTGCCACTAACTAAAAAGTCAAGAGAAAATGCTATACAGTAACAACCTTAAGAAAAAATGGCAGAGAGAAAGTTTGTCTGAAGGTCACCCGCGGTCTGGCAATCAGTGACACTGATTTAAAAAAGTAGCATGAAGCTGTCCTCAGACATCTACAAAGTGTAAGTTTTAAAGGTAAGAGAAGAAGATGCTAGTAACTTGCACTGATGGAGAAACGTGTAAGGGCCCTGATGATGGTGACTTCCTCACAGTCAAGATCCAGCAGCCTCCGATTTTCTAGAGGGAGCTGAAAATATTACTGCTAACAGTAGTCCTCGCAGACAATAAGGGAACTGCAATGCCTTCTTTAAATCTGTAGTCATTTCCTTTTAAAGATAAAAACACCCACACAAGTTGGCATCTAAGAAACAAAGCCCAGCCCCTGATCCTTTTGGGCTGCAGATGCCAGCACAGTGCAACTGCTGAAAGCTTGTGACACAAAATGGAAAGAGGGCAGATTCATGGGCAGGAGAACCTCTGGCGATTCAAGCCCATAAATAAGGCTGGTCCAGGCCTTCCAAGCTCTACCCAGCATATTCAGACTCAGCGTGGCGTCTGGAAACCCTGCAGCTTCTGCCACTTTTAGTCAATTGTTGGTTACAATCAACAACCATCAGGTCCTAATGACTGTCAACACACAAAGAGAAACCATGTGCCTCTTCCAGAATCCTGGCTTATTTTTCCCAGCTTCTGACAATGGGTGGAGGGCTGAACAAAGAGAAAGGAACACATTATTTCATCTGTGTTTCACACATCACCCCCGGAGGTGAGTTTTCTCTTGAAAGATGAGTTATTCAGGACTCAGAGAAGATGGGAATTCTGCCCATTGTCACACAGCTACTAAGTGGAGAAACAGAAATTTAGGCTAAATCTGTCTGCCTTTAAGATCTCCAGTAAAGGCACAGTCACCCAGATAAAAATGAGTGGTGACAAACAAGTCCTCGGCAGCTGACTGAAACACTCCTGAAGGGAAGACTAACACACAACTATATACAATCAGTACACTTATCTGAACTAGGCAGTTTTAAATGCTACTTTAAATGTCACTGTACTTGTTAGATCATTTATGCAACACTTACCAATCTTTAAAGAGATACGATCCCACTTCCATGATTAAAATCCCATAACCTATCAGCAATGTGCATGAACATGTATGATAAGGACAGCCAGTTCATAGTATGTGTGTAAGACTGAAAACATCCAAGTTTTCAGTAAAAAAAGTAAAAAGACACCTAAAACCATACTCTAGAAACCAAGAAGTATATTACACACATAATAATCACAAATGATAATGCAGAAAGATAAGTTGTTATGTATATCATAACTCACAAAGAGACCTGTAAAATATACAAAAATATGCTATGCTTTTCAGAGCCTTTCTTCATTTCTAACTGGTTATGGAAAAAATAGATTGCTAAATTCATAGCCTTTTTCTAGATAGAACTTAAGTCAGCTCTATTTGCATATGTTTACAACATAAATATCAAATATCACAGGAGAAATTATTTTATTAAACTTTGGTCATCTAGTCAAAAAAAGCTTTTCAGATTTTTAAACCATGTGTGCATCTATATGAATGATAAAAAAAGATCATATGCTTCTGATCAATTTAACAATTCTAGTCTAAAAACAGCAATGCTATTCATTCTCGTGTTCAACACTTAGTAGAAAAAAAAAAGCACCGTGGATACATGGAGACATACTGCCCTCTGCTGAAGATGTAATTCTAGGCTAGCAATGAAATGTCTCCATCACTGTGTATACATGAGACACTGTTGGATGCTATAGGAGTCTTAAAAAAGCCAAAATTCCTTTTGTGCTTGAAAATACAAACTTCAAAGAAGGGAATTTAGTAGAATGTGTGAGACTCTCTCTGGACTACTGATATAATGTTCCTATTGTTATGATTATCGTCATCATCTTGAAAAGAAAATTAATGACTCCATATAGAACTTTCAGCCAATTGTTGGGCTCCAATATGGGCTCCATATAGAACTCAAAAGTATATTAAGCTATACTAAACATAGAAAATAGTTCATAGAACCTCTTTCTTGTTTTATTATTTTATTTGAATTAGAAACAAGATTGTTTTACATGTTAATTCCAGTTCCCTCTCCCTCCTCTCCTCCCCTGCCGCCCCCGACAACTAACACCCTACCTATACCATACCCTTTCTGCTCCCCAGGGAGGGTGAGGCCTCCCATGGGGGGGGGGGTCTTCAGAGTCTGTCATATCCTTTGGGATAGGGCCTAGGCCCATCCCATGTGTCTAGGCTCAGGGAGTATCCCTTTATGTGGGATGGGCTCCCAAAGTCCAGTCCTATGCTGGGGATAAGTACGGATCTACTACAAGGAGCCCCATAGATTTCTGAGGTCTCCTCACTGACACCCACATAGAACCCCTTTCATAAGACTGTATTTCCCATATGGCTAATTCTCAAGTTAAAGAACCTGACTTGTCAGCATGCATTAAGTACCTGTAAATATCCAGGGGCATATCCCACCCATAACCACAAGCCACACTTGAAGAAGCCCGACTCTCATGCAACCTGGGGCCTTCTTTAAGAGTAGAGGTTCAATGTCTTCTTTGTGACTACAAATGATGTTCCTTTTTAGCCATATTAGTTTCTAGCCCTGTGTAGGACCTCTGCCTGTTGGCTCTATTTCTACTATAAAGTAGCTGTGGGACAGGAGTGCTGGGTCCCACAGTGAAACTGAAGGTGCTACTGAGCAGCTTATTTGAGATTGCCCGGCACACCATGTGGGCCTCCCTCTGTACCAGTCAAGCTCATCATCCAGATTCACGTTACTCATGTTCACACCTCACAACACATTAAATGGACCATAGCACGTTCCAAGAGAATACTAACTAATCATTTCCACAGGAAATAGCTTTTCAGGTTCTAAGCCAACACTTAAAACAAACTTAAAAATCCAGTTGTATAGCAAGGACACATGTTTATCTAGAAGTCTATAAAAAACAACAGATCTGGAATTTCCCAGGATATCACAGCATGTTTTATATCAAGAGCTGTTGAGTCCATGAACTTGGACCTGGATCATGTTGTGGAATATTTGCACACTGTGTGAAAATGTATTTGCTGTGTTTGATGTAATAAAAAGCTAAATGGCCAATAGCTAGACAGGAAGAGGTTAGGTGGGACTTAGGGGACAGAGAACTCTGGAAAGAAGAAAGGCAGTGTCATCACCCAGATGGAGAAAAAACAAGAGGTACAAGATAAAAGGAAGGTAAAAAGCCATGAGGCAAAACATAGATTAATATAATATTATATAATACAAATGGGTTAATTTAAGTTATAAGAGCTAATGACACAAACCTAAGCTAAATCTGAGCTTTTATAATTAATAAACAGTCTCCATGTCATTATTTGGGAGCTGGCTGGTGGGACAGGAAAAAGACACGTTACATATGGCATCCAACATGGAGGCCCAATATCCAAACATAGGGCCTGAGAAAGCTAAGAAAAGTTCTGGACAAGGAGCCGGAAGTAGATTCCTAGTCTCGTAGTTTCTCAAGTATGCCAGTACTTGAACCAATCATCAGTGCCATGTGCAAGCGCCATGTACTAAGCTAAGCTGTATGGCAGCTGACATGCACTTTAAGATTTGTCTCACGCAGTCAGACAATATTGCAGGTGCTCAGTGAAGCCAGTGAGTTGTGCACACCGCATATTCCATACTTGTGTTAATGAAGATATATAAATAACCTGTAAAACTTTACATGTTTTCAGAAAAAACAGACCAGGCACCAACGAAGACAATAGCCCAGGTAATCCAGACTTTAAAAATGCCTCTGCTGCAGTTTCCTCAAAATTCTGCATCCCAAATAACTTCAAAGCTGCTGAGATGGTCCAGCCTCATAGACTATCCAACCAAGACTTCAGATAAGCTCTACACTTTCCTATCACACAGAAACTAAACAAAATAGAATACAGCTAGTTTTCCCAGGACTTAACCATTATTTCAATTTTCATAGGGTCTCCTAAAGATGCCATCAGCCCCAATCCTAGAAAGTAATTTTAAGAATATGACACCCACATTCCTAAGAGGTGGAATGGCTGGATTTTGGTTCTTGGATGGGTTATGAATGTTTGTCATCATTTAGGGTGGTTGGTTACAAATTGTTACTGGTCATGGTAAGGGAGGAAACTATGCAAAGGACATTAGATTCAAGGATCCCATTCTGAAAAGAAAAAGGGAGGATATAGGATTGATAGGACAAAACGGTAGATTATTGAATTTACTTGTAAATTAAAAAGGCAAAGACTAGTCTCAAATATACATTGGTATGGATTTTTGTATACTGATACAAATTTCAGGTTATTTTTGTTATACTGTACAGTTTCTACTCTTTTTTTTTTTTTTTTTTGGTTTTTCGAGACAGGGTTTCTCTGTGTAGCTTTGGAGCCTATCCTGGCACTTGCTCTGGAGACCAGGCTGGCCTCGAACTCACAGAGATCCACCTGCCTCTGCCTCCCGAGTGCTGGGATTAAAGCCGTGTGCCACCAACGCCTGGCCAGTTTCTACTCTTATATAAGGTATTTTTGTATACTGATAGAAATTTAAGTTATTTCTGTTTCACTGTATATATGTTTCTACTATTGTATAAAGTAACTTTGTATACTGATACAAATTTAAGGTTACTTTTGTTATACAGTATATACGTTTCTACTCTTGTTTAAGGTATTGTATCTATGCAGCTCATTTAACAATATAATGTAAATTTCTAGTCCTTGAAAGTTATTACAAACTAATAGGATAATTATGAAGTATAGGTTAGTAGTTAGTCATCTAACAATCAAATTTGTAGCCATGTTCAATATGTTTTCAAGGTCAAATGGAAACATATTCTAGATACACAGATGGTCTTCAAACACTTCAGAGATCTACGGAATATGGCATTTAAGATGTTTTTATAACATAAGGCCTTTCCTTGACAATGAGATACATCTGCTCCTGACAGCACCAATTAATTTCAAAAAAGGACTGGGTTGAAGGTTGAAGAACCTTCCTATGGAGTTTGCTTTCATTTGTGGCAAAGTTAGCCAATGGGCAAAGGAACTACCCTTGCCTCAACTGCAGACAGCATGCTGTCCAAATTGGACAAGCAGGACACAAAACAAGGCAACTGCCAAACTTTGCCAAGACAAGGTAAGGCAGTCCTTCAAAGTTCCCTGCTTCACAAAAGAGTCTGTCAGATATTCTGGGTCTGTAAGCCAAAGACGGATACCCCAATGCTGCAGAGGAACCTTGGGTGACTGTTCAGGCAGCCAGCTGTTTCTGTCATTTCTATAGTTTTGGAAGTTGCTTGTTCTACACTTCCTATTTAATCAGGTAATAATATATCTTTCTTGGATCTCTCTTGGAGTTGAAGATGAAAAAGTTATAGTTACAGTTTTCCTTGTTACCAAATTCAGAAAAGAAAATTACATAAGAGATATTATGTGTTTAAGGTTGAGAGATATAAAAGCTTAAATTTTTATCTAAAAATTGTTTTGATGTCTAAAAAGATAGTTTTTGGTTGGTAATACAAATTAGGATAGAAAGTAAATTAGGTACCAAACTTTGGACTTACTAAAATAGGACAGATACTACAGTACTTTCTCCAAATTTGCTAAATACAAATGGACTGGACATTGTGAATGTAATTGTTACCTGATAAGTGTTCTTAATGTATATAATTTTATTATGTTAGAGTTAAAACTTTGCCTTTTTATTTAAACAAAATGAGGAAATGTTGTGGATTGTTTAAGTATTATGTGAAAATGTATTTGATTGGTGTAATAAAGAGATGAATGGCCAATGTCTAGACAGGAGAGGTTAGGTGACACTTCTGGAGACAGAGAGGACTCTGGAAAGAAGAAAGGCAGAGTCACCAGACAGACAGACAGGAAACAGGAGGTGCAAGATGATAGAAAGATAAAAAGCCACGAGGCAAAATATAGATTAATATAACAGGTTAATTTAAGTTATAAGAGCTAATGGGACAAGCCAAGGCTGAGGCCGAGCTTTTATAATTAATAAGCAATCTCCATGTTGTTATTTGGGAGCTGGCTGACAGGATAGGACAAGACTTGTTACAGTACCACCTATAAGTGGAACAGTCTGTCAACAGGTCTGTTTGTGGCTAATCCCCACTGTTAACCTGGTGAGACTTAGAGCCACCTCAGAGACAGGCTCTGGGCATGCTGTGGGGGCTGTCTTGATTAGATTATCGAGATGGGAAGACACAGATACTGAGTGGCACCATGCCCTGGTCTGTGGTCCTGGACTTTATGGAAAGGAGAAAGTGAGTTAAGCAAGAGCTCCCTTTTCTCTACTTCCTGACCACAGTGCAATGTGACTAGATGCGTCAGGCTTCCACCATGTTGATTTTCCTGCCATGATGACCTGTGAAACAAAATAGACCCCTTTCCCCATATGCTGTTATTGTCATTTGGTATTTTATCATAGCAACAGAGAAGAAACCAGGTCTACACAGACAAATATCACACCATATCCAAGATGTAAGTTATAAAATCAAAAAGAGCTAAGTGTAAAATAATATGCACTGTACAAGTCAACATAACATCTGTTTCTACTCATGAATATGCAAACTACCTCTTGAAAGACTCATGAGAAACTGGTAGCAGTAGGATCCTAGGGTGGAAAAGGCTAATTCATTACTACACCCTTCTACACGGTATCACCTAAAATAAACAGATTAACACATAACTTATGTATGATACAAACCTTTCTATTCCTAGAATCCCTTATCTGCCTAATTCTACCTTACCTAATTTTATATGAAAAACAAAAACAAAAACAAAACCACTGGGACTGGTGAGATGCTCAATGGGTAAAGATGCTAATGCCAAGCTGATGAGCTGAGTTCATCTGGAATTCACGTGGTGGAAGGAGAGAGTGGATTTCTCCATTTTGTCTTCTGGCCTCCACACAGACACACCATGGTATGTACATTCACACATAGAAACATGTCAACACCCACACATGTACACAGAAATAAATTAAAATGTGATAAAAATTTTTAATTAATAAAGAGAAGAAACCAGAGAAATTCTTTCTAGTTTTCAGGAAAAGAACCGTAATCTTACCTTAAATATGATGACAATGGGTATATCTTCAGACAAGGTGTTATGCCTTAAATAAAACCGTCCTTGTTTCACAGCCATATTGGTTCTACTTTTTTTCTCATGGGTGGAGCTATGAGTGAAAACAAGCCAGTTAAACTGCATCCCTACCCAGGAACTCCAATAGCAACAATCACTACCCTGCCAGGTTCAGCTGCTCAACAAATAAAATCATCTCTAATTAATTGGCATTCAATGATACACAACTTCCTGCCAATTCTGTGAACACTTAAAAACACACCTGTTTCTTTATCTTCAAGATTATGGTCGAAATATTGTGGATGAACCAGTGACTGTCACTCTTTGACCTAATTTCCCTTCCCGTTCCCCTTGTGTGTTTGCTGGCTGGTTCTTGAGGAAAGATCTTATGGCCAGGCTAGCCTTGAACTTGCTACATTAGGATGGTCTCGAACTCCTGCCCCTCCTTCCAATTTCTACATACAAAGATTACAGTTATGTGCCACAGTGTCCAGCTTTTAACTTATTTCATTTTTATTGTACCTGAATTAGTTTGACCCAATGTAAGGCATATACTCATGGCTGATTTTTTGTAAAGAAAAATCTCAAAATGGGTCAAACCACATTCTAAGGAGAAGTAAGTTTAAAATTAGTTATCCAAAAGTTACCCACAGTATCAGCACACAGTGAAACAAAAAGTTATTCTAATTTAGCTCCTTCTATAGGTGTCTCTGTTATGAGACATAACAAAAGCTCTATTCAACCATAGCGCTAGCACATATTAATTGCCTACTACTCTGTTACCATATGGCATGGGAGTTCTAATCTCCACATGACAACACTTACTGAGAGCTGCCTCTAAATCATGTATGAGGAATCTGAGACTTAGAGGAGCTAAGTGACTGTGAACTGCAGTGTCACAGACAGAAACATCACCTTTTTGGATTCAAATCCAGAATGCTTTGGCTCCAAAACTATGTACAGTTGGAAGAGATGGATGCTGAGGGCCTCTTACAAGCAAGGTGACCCTGAGTTTAGTTATGAAATAGAAACAAAATCATATATCCTGAAGAACTGTGGCAACAATTAAAATTCATAATGCACCAAAAAAACTGACTAGTTCCTATTAAGTCTTTGGTAGAGGTAAGTGGCCATTATTGTTAGCTACCTCTCCATGAGAAAGAAGCCTGCAGAACCCTATGGTAATAGGCTCATTACAGGCCACCAGAAGAGAAACTACTGCACACTGACGTCTTATGTAGGCTACAATCTTCCTGCCCTCATAGCTTTCAAGTTTCAAATGACATGAGAATAGAAGTTGCAGAAGTCCTACAGGACGTTGCTGCTGTAGATGATGGTGAATGCGAAAAGAGCTAGTCTGCACAGCTAACAAGGATGTGCAGAATTATACATGGAGCAGTCCTTGCTCACAAAAGACCTGAAAAGGAGTGTAAAAACCTTGAAGAGTGATTTTGTGCTTTTACTTTAAAAGTTTCTTTAATGCTATAAGTTAATAAAGAACAAAACTTAACTAGTGCCTTCCAAATGCTGCCTTACATTTCCAACCCTGAAATCAATACTGTATTTATAGACCTATACAACAGATGAGTTTTCAATACACTATCTGCTATTGAGAATACTGCCACCTCCACATGGCTATTGAGAAGCCAACACCCACTACTGTCGAAATGATTAATGTTTTGAAAAACACCATCCATTCCCCATACCTGGTAACTGAAGCTCCAACGGCCCCCTTCCTATCCGCCTCTACAATGATCCTGTTCTTGGACAGCTGCTCTTGGATAAGAATAACTTTTTCAACCCCTTTAACAATGAAATAGCCACCTGCCAAAGGAAACAAGAAAAGCTCACCATCTCTTCTGCACCAGGGTGAGTAGGTAAGGTGGTCACTCAATACCAGTACAGACAGGCCCTGACACTCCTGTCCCTACCTCCCAAGTACTCAGATTACAGGTGGGTGCCTATGATCAATCATTTGCTTCAGACACCAGCAACCATTAACTTGAAGGAACTGCTGACACTGTTCTGTGAACTGACGACAGTATCAGCACATGGTTTTACACAAAGGAACCAAAGCTGAGACACCTCTTGAAGACAGTGTATCTGATTGGTCATTTGCCCTGGTTAGGTTTGTTGTCAAGTTGACACATTGGAAAGAGAGAACGTCAACTGATGAAATGCCTCCATCTTGTTGGGTTGGTGGGCATGGCTACGTGGCATGGTCTGGATTCCTAATTAATATAAGAGGGCCTAGCTTACTGCTCCCTCCCTAGATAGACAGGCCTGAGCCATAAGAAAGAGAACGTAAGCCCAGGACAAGACAGACAACAGTGTTCCCTAATGGTTTCTGCTTCAGTTCCTGCTTGAGCTCCTGAACTCACTCCTCTCAAAGATGGATTATGAGTTGGAAGACTAAAAAAAAATCTCTCTTCAAGTTGCTTTTGGTTGCAGTGCTTATCACAGCAACAGAAAAGCAAACTAGGACAGAAATTAGAAATTCTGTGGTGGACCTGACCATGTTGGTTTGAGGAGGACCATGGAAACATTTGGAACTTTGAACTAGAAAAGCCATTGAGTGCTCTGAGAGTAATAGGTTGTTCTGTGAAAACTTGGAAGATAAGAATACTGAAAAGGCAGACAATGGGGGCCTGGCTTGTAAAGTTTACAGAGATGCAAAGTCTCTGTTTGACCTGTTTGTGTGGTATTTTTCCATTAAGAATCAGTGGAAGTGAAACCTGTTTTACTGAGAAAATGGAGGCTGGTTATCTGGGACTGAGAAACACTTGTGATTAATGAGAGACCAACATCACTTATGGGAAATCTTCTGGGAAGTATATTCTCAGGATAAGCACACGGAAGCTGTGGTCCAGAATGGACCAAGGCTGCATCTCAAGCTGGCAGCAGAACTTGATAATTTTAAGAGTCTTGTATGTAGTAGTGGTTTGGAAGCATCAAAGCTGCAAACTGAAGGAGGAAGAGAAGCTGAGGCTTGGCACTATGTGGAAGTGTTAAAGTCCCCAAAGAGAGACCAGCTGAAGTGGAGACTCTAAAATACTGGAGATGCCTGGATCATGGGATGTCTACTAAGAACAGAGGCAGCTGTGCAGTAAAGCTGGTCTGTGCCTATGTGACAAGCTACATGGACTGCAACGGCAGATCCAGAGAATGAAGTAAGTACCCTGGCCTTCTGGAGTCAGATCATGAGTGCATATCAGATGTCAGACACTGAACTGTCTACACTGTTGGATTTAGATTGTGCTTTGATCTGATTACAACTGTGCCCTGTCCTCCTCCTTGGAATAAAGAAGCAGGTGATTTGTTTGGGGCTTTATAGTGGCCCAGATATTAAGAGACTAAGTTTTTTAAAGAGAACTAGCACCGCTGAAGCACTGCAATTTTTAAAGATTGTGGGACTTTTAAGGTTGCACTCTATTTTGAATTATGATATTAACATGAGACATTGGGAACCAGCCAGAAAGGAATAATTATGGTTGAAAGTGGCGCATTTGTGTGTCAAGCTGACAAGGGGGCAAAGGGCACTGGTTAGTTTTGTTGTTGCTACACTGGGAAGAGGGAACCTCAAATGAAGTACTGCTTTCATTGGATCACCCCCGTAGGCTTGCCTATGGGGCATTTTCTTGACTGCTAACTGGTGTGGGATGACCCAGCCTATGTGGGCAGTGCGTTCCTTAGGCAGGTGGGCCTGAGCTACATAAGAAAGGGAGCGAAACACGAGCCTGGAAGCAAGCCAGAAAGCAGCATTCTTCCATGGTTCCTGCTGCAATTCCTGCTTGAGCTCCTGCCCGGAATACCCTCAATGGTAGATTGTGACCTGGAAGTGTAAGCCAAATAAACCCCTTCCCCTCCAACCTTCTTTTGGTCAAGGTGTTTACTATGGTAATAGAAAAACAATCTATAACATCCACGTATTTCACCAAGCCAGAAAGTATATCAGGCAAATGAAAAGAGCAATGTATTAAACAGATGGATCTGGAGAGCTCTTAAGCACAAGAATAACCTGGGATCTTCAGTGGAAACTGATACAATGGTAGACCATGATTAGGTTTTCAAAATAATGCTTCTACTGAATAAAAGTCACAGGCCAATATTACGTATTTTTCACATAATTTAGGAATAGGGCAGAATGGGATTTTGTTCTATCTACAAGATAGAAGCAAAACCAAGGCAATATATTTAACTTCTGAAAAACTTGGTTAGAGTCTAGCAAAGTAAGATTCTTTCTAACTAAGCAAACAAACAACAAAATCCCCCCTTGATGCAAGGAGTTCAAGTAAAGCAGCTCTAGGCCAATTTAAATCCTAAGTAAAGGCACTGCGAGAAACTCTACATTCTGTTGTTTGAAATTTTATCAAAAAAAATAGTCTAGATATCAGCATAAAAGTATAAATTTTAAGACCTTACACAACAGCAAAAATGTTTTCATCTTTTTCCCTTTTCTCCAATTAACACAGACTGTAGTGAGGTCCTGGGGTCTTTTCAGAACAGCTTAGATACTAACTTTGGAAGTCTATCAAAGGAAACTACTAACGACGGCAGAGAGAAGAGAACAAACCCTGGCAATACAACAGAAGTTAAGCCACTAAAATTTTAAAGCTAACAAAAGAATTTATTATTTTTAGAAATCTAAAATAAAGCTGTTGCCAAATCTTCAGAAGGTTATGAACATAGTTTTCCAGCAAGTTCATTACAAGGCAAAAAAGGCTTCAACAGAATACTAGGAAAAAAAAAAAACAGAGCAAGGAAAGAGTGAGGAGGGTATACACAAGTCATCACACATACCTGGGTCTAATGGACATTCGTTCAATTTGGCAAACTCTGCTGGAGTTTTCCCTGTCAGAACACAGTTTGAACTTCGTAGCATGATGGGCATTCTGTTTAAAGTAAAACAAAAGAAAGTTATTGTGCATAGGTTGAGGCATAAAAAATGCAGTGAACAGATGGCAGAGAGGCCTGAATCCCTGTGTACAATGTTAGAAGATGGTCAGAGGATGTTAGATGTTCTCACGAGACAGCCAAGGGAAATCAAAGGTTTCCCAGACATATTTTCTGGCACAGATAACAAAAATCTACAACTGTGCTGGATAACAACAATGGCACAGCTGAGAAGAGAATTACTAAGTGGGAGCAATTATCAAGAACATTATTTTAGGAAGACTAAGAGGTGGACTCTACAAAGAAGACTGTAACCACCATGTAAGAGCAGGACAGTCTAAAGCACACCTATGCAGACCTCTAGAGAAACTTATTCAAAGGAGGAAAGGCTTCGGATTTAAAGATGTGTGAAAGCCTTCACATTACTACCTGTACGGAATAGAGTACCACACCTAAACATACAACACAGCAAAGTGGAAAGGAGGGAGTAAAACAAGAGCAAAGCAGATTACCAAAAGGAAAAACTGAGTAACAGCACTAAAGGACCGAAAGGGAACAACCTACATAGTACCACATGGAGGTCAGTCACATAGAGATGTTTTCAGTTATGAACTAAACAGTAAAAAGACCTTCACTAAATTTCTAGAAAAAAGTTTCCATCTTTACAACATGGAAAATATAACACAAACCAACATCTGATGTGAAAAATGTATGTTGCACAAAGAAAACCAAACAAGCAGCTGAAACAATGACTTGTAGTCAAGAGCACTGGCTGCTCTTCCAGAGGACTCAGCTTCAGTTCTCAGCAACCACATGGATGCTCACCAACCATCTCTAACTCCAGTTCTAGGGGACTTGATGCTGTCTTTGGCCCTTCTTCAGAATCAAGCACGCATGTAGTACACATACAAACACGTAGACAAAACACCCATACACATAAATAAAAGTAAATCTTTTTAAGAAAATAAGAAAACAAAACAAATGCACAGAAATATTACTAAATGTTAACTTTATAAACCAACAATGATTTTGAGTTTATGGGTTAAAAAACAAGACAAGAAGAACTTGGCATAACAAAACTCAAGGATTTGACTCAAGTCAAAGCTTTCTAAGATGTTACTCTTCCTAAAAGATAATAAAGATATTACAGTCAAACTTTGTTAGGTTATGCAGTTTAGTTCTAAAGTAACACAGCCAGAAATGATACATCTGCCTTTCATAGCAAGTAGAAGAAAGAAAAGAGCTCCTATTAACCCAAAGTGGAGCAAGGGAGAAAAAACTAGAAACATTGGAAAGATTTCAAGTACAGAATACACTGACAGAAATATATTGAACATATACATCTATACATTTAAATAGTGTGTGGGGGGTGTGTGTAATAGATGTAAATGAGCTACATTCTCCAACAAATTTAAAAAAAGACAAAAAAAAAAAAACTAGGTACACATGGTTTGCCTCAAGAAAACCAAAAACAGTTTAAATTCATAACTTTTCTACAGAAGACTTAGCAAATGTCCCTAATTAGGAAAAGCACATTCCAAAAATACTAGCTGATGCTATCCATTATTTTCAAACTTCTGGGAGGCAGTAACTTCTTTCATAACTACTGCTACACATAAATAAATGTCTAGGGAAACTACACACAGTATGCAGCAAGAAGCCCAGTGCAGGAGAATTCAATGAATCCTAACTGACCTACTGAGTGCTCACTGCTGGTGTCACCTAACTGACCTACTGAGAGATCACTGCTGTGTTACCTTAGTGACCTACTGAGTGCTCACTGCTGGTGTCACCTAAGTGACCTACTGAGCACTCACTGCTGGTGTCAGGAGAAAAGAAGGGAAGCATTTTCCTCAGCTTTACAAAACAATCTACAATTACTAAGAAACACAGCTCTGCCTGGCCCTTACTCTAAGGATCCACAAGGTAATCCCATGACACTGCTTCCCACACACTTCGGATGAGGGAAAGAGGTAAAGAAGACTTGTTAATTTGCTTAAGATAACATTATGGAGCAGAACTCAAGGCAGTGTGGCTCCAACAGCAACTTCACGTCTCACCTGCCAATGGGTAATGCGTTTCGGATTATCCTCTGGCTGCCTCGGGTATACTCAATGTCCACCGTGATTGGGGCAGAGTATGTCATGTCCCTCAAACGGCACTGGAACAAAAATCACACAGTTACTGCCCCTCTTGCCTTCAGAGTCCCCACTAGGAGTACGGTTCATACCAAACTGAACTTTACTTCACGTCTACTTTCCCCAGGAAGGAGATGACTCATGGATTGGACTGGATTACATATTGCTCTAGCATCCCTAGTCCTGCCAGTGCAAAGATGGAACAATAATCCCAGGAGTAATCTCCTTCTCATTTACCCAGTACAAATAACTAGTTTGTTTCCACATCATCATAGCAATCAGACTGTTCCTTGCAAATCCACCATAGAAACGAATTAATGTGGCTGATTATACTGCTCAAAATTGTTAACAATCATAAAAGTAAGAAAATTACAACTATGCTATCTAGTCTTCAACTCCATCAGAGACCATAGAAGGAAACATATTAACTGACTAACAGGAAGTATGAGCAAGAGACTTCTAAAAAAATGTGAAAATGACAAAATCTTCTGTCTGCCTGGACAGTCACCCAGAGGTCCTCTGCAACCTTGGGGCATCTATCTTTGGCCTACAGACCTAGCATATCTAACAAAATTTTCTGTGAAGCAAGAATTTTGAAGGGCTTGTCTTGGCAAGGTTTGATAGTCACTTTCTTTTGTGTTCTCCTTGTCCAATTTGGACAGCATACTGTCAGCAGTTGAGGCAAGGGCATTTTCTTGCCCAGTGGCTTACTTTTGCCACAAAGAAAGTAAACTCCACGTGGAGTTTGTTCAATGCCCATCATTTCTGAAGTAGACTGGTGCTGCCAGGAGCAGACATATCTCATTGTCAAAAAAAAGAAAGAAAGAAAAAAAGAAAAGAACCTATATTATTTAAACATTTCAAATGCCATATTCTATAGATCGCTGAAGTGTTTGAAGATGACCTGTCTTTCTAAAATTTTGTTTGATGTGACTGTAAGTTCAACTGTAATAGGTGACTGATTACTAAACTACATTTCCTTATTATCTTATATAGTTGGTAATAATAACTTTCAAGGACTAGAAATTTGCATTACATTGTTAAATGAGCTGTAGAGGTACAATACCTTGAACAAGATAAGAAATGTATATACAGTATGCTTAAAAAGTTTAAGTTTTCTATTCCTGATTGATAAAAATTGTTAATGTAGTGCTGAAGGAATGACTCAGAGGTTCAGAGCACTGGCTACTTTTCCAGCGGATCCAGTTTCAATCACAAAAATCTTAAAAGTAAAAATTAAGAGCAGACTCTAGGTGAAAACAAACCAGTCCAAGTAAAGTAAGATGCACAATTACCTCATGAGGGGACACTGGTCTCGTTACATTGAAGCTTTCTTCAACATCAGGAAGTCCAACATAGATATTAAGATATCTGAAAAGCAAATTTATTTCATCAATTTTGTGTCTTTAGAGAACATACATGAGTGATCCCTCAGTCTTTGAAAAGCACCTCCCTTACTGAGGATGACAAACAAAAGTGATAATTGACATCTTCCTGAAGTGATAGTTCATATAACTTTACACATGAGGGGAAATGCCATCATGGTGTGTGTGTGTGTGTGTGTGTGTGTGTGTGTGTGTGTGTGTGTAAATGTATGAGAAAGAGAGAGAGAGAGGTATGGATATGCATGTGGCTGTGCACAGGTACATGTGTATGATGATGTATGAGTATGTACATGTGTGTGCATAGGTTTGTATGAGAGAAGAATATGTATGTGGGTGTGCATAGGTAAATGTATGTATGACAGAGATATATGTACCTGTGTGTGCACAGGTATGTTGTAGAATATTATTTTAAGGTTGTTATATTTGTTTAAACTCTGGAACATTTGTTTAATGATGTAAAAATATGTTGATTTTGTTTATATTGCATTTGTTTAATTCTGGGAAACTGATTCTTTGTCTGTCTATAACACCTGATGGTCTAGTAAACAGCTGAACAGCCAATAGTGAGGCAGGAAGAAGGATAGGCAGGACTGGCAGGCAGAGAGAATAAATAGGAGGAGAAATCTGGGAGGAGCAAGATAAAACAAGAGGAGGAGGATGTCAGGGTTCAGCCATCCTGCCAGACTTGGAATAAGAGTGAAAATAAGATACATAAAAGAAAAGGAAAAAGCCCAGAGGTAGATGGAATAATTTAAGAAAAGCTGGCTAGAAATAAGTCAAGCTAAGGCTGGCCATTCATAAGTAATAATAAGATTCCATGGTTATTTACTTGGGAGCTGGGTGGCAGGCTCCCAAAAGAGCCCAAAGAGTAAAAAATACAGGTGCACTTGTGATCAAACATAATGCTGGGCTGTTTCTTCTATTGCTTTCTGCCTTATGTATATTTAAAGATTTATTTTTATTTGATGTGTTTGAGTGTTTGTCTGCATGTAAGTTCACCATGTGCATGCATGGTACCTTCAGAAGCCAAAAGGGGGCATTGGCTCCCAGGGAACTGGAGCTATAGAGGGCTGTCAGCCACAATGTGCGTGCTGGAAACTAAACCCAGGTCCTCTGAAAGAGCAATCCCTGCTCTTAACAGCTAAGCCATCTCTCCAGCCCTTCCACCTTATTTTTTGAGACAGGGTCTTTCACTGAACATGAAATTCACAAACATTTGTTGGCTACAGTCAAGCTCTGGAACATGCCTATCTTCATACCCCCAGTCAGATGTATATAATGCTGCACCCAGCTTTTACATGAGGGCCTAGGATCCAAATTAGCACATTCCACATAGCCTTCCCTCCAGTCTCCTAAGCATCTTTAAAAGATAATGCAGGTTTTATTAGAAAAATATCAGAGCTGGCTCCATAAAAATGATCCCCAATGAAAACAGCAATGTGTAAGGCTCTGCCTGTGCTATGTGAAAATTCAGGTTTTTGTTGCTTTAGACAAAAGGGAAGACTTAGGAGACAAAAATATATGCTCACTGGTAGAAAAGAAGGGAGGATAATGGGAACCTAATGAGGCTCTACTAGAAGTATTTGGAAATTGGGTGAAAAGAAAAGGGAAAGAAGTGACAACTTCTGAAGATACTGTTTTGCCCAGGTCTCATTCCTCTAATGATATTATTCTGATGCAGCCCAAAAGTACATAATTCAAATTAAGCCAGAATCAAGTGCAAACCTTACTGAATTACCAAGGAATCATATAACTGCACTGAAATAGAAAAAAAGAACAGCATCCTTGGAAAACAGTAGTTGGATTGTATCCTCTAGTTAGTGAACATTCTTCTTTCAGAGATATCAGTTTCCTTAGGTTATTTTGTGTATACCCTGGGTTGAAGTTTTTAAAAATTAATTACAGGTCATAAGGGGAGGGCCTAGGCCCTGCCCCAAATGACTTGACAGATTTTGATGGAGGGAGAAAGAAATTAGATGGTTTCTAATTTAAATAAAATGTATTAAACCATTTCTCTTTAAATAAAATGTAAAAAATTGTTCCTAATTTAAATAAAATTTAAAGAAAAAAAATTAATTACAGGTATGTGAGCTCCATTTCTCACTGTCAGGACTGAAGTCACAAACAAGGAGAGGAAGCTGTCAGAACGAGTGGTACTGCTGGCTGAGTATCACAGGCTTCAGTCTATAGTCTCCAATGTAAACAAAACAGATAGGACATAGACATATGCATGAATGTGTTAGTACATGTACATGTATTTGCTAATGCTGTCTGCCCTTAGTGTCCATATGCTGATCTGCAAGTACTACCCACCAATAAAAGAATAAGGCACCTTGGAGAAATGGTTGATTCCAAGGTGAGAACAAGGAAAAATATTTATGTTATATCCTATGGTTCCATAAAGTAAAGTAGTTGATGAATTACCATGACAGCACATTTTTAAAGGACATGGAATCAAGCTAAAGGATTTCTCTATGGCTAAGCTAGGAAAATCTGAGCAAGAGAATAACAACCTGGATCACAAACAACAGGAAAAAATTAATATCTATGAGCCTAGGCTGATATAAAATAATACACAGAAAGGTACAATGAGGGCATGGGAACATTAAAAACAGAAGGGATGATGGAAGAGAGACTTATAATTATCTCATGGTAGTAACTGTTATGGACAAAAATCAATGTATGTTAAAACCCATGGTGAGGGGCTATGTACGTAGCTCAATATAGGGTACTTGTCTTGCAAACACAAAGTTTGGGGTTCAATCCCAGACACAGTAAATTTTTTTAAAGAAATAAAATTAGTGGTGAAAATATCAATATTTCATGGTCTAAAGGATCTTCCCATAGGTACTTATTATAAAAAGAAAAGACATTATCTTTACAATGGAGAATTCTAAAAAAAACAGATATTACATAAACCAAGAAAACAGTGTTAAAATCACCAGCAATAAAAGATCTTGACAAATGTACCCTCTGACATGAATCAGTAAAAATGGATTAAAACACTATGAGGTGTTCTTGCTAAAAACCCGTGCCTTAATCTAATCATGAGCAAGTATCCTAAAATACTCAGATTGAAGGGTCCTCTATCCAGTCAGACTTAAAAAGTATCATGGCCAAGAAACACCAGGAAAGACTGAGGATTATCTGATTCTGGAGACTAAGAAACCAGGTCAACCTCAGGGCTTGAGAGTCACCTCCACAATGTAAGAGCACTTGAGGAAAATCTGAAGTTGGGCCCCGAGCACCACACCAGGCAGCTCCAGAGGATCTGACACCCTCTTCTGACCTCCAAGGGCATTGCACTCAGCTGTGCACAAACACACATACAAATAGTGGTGGACCTGGAGCATCCCGATTCCATCATAAGATTAGAAGCCATTCTATTACAAGACCAAAATAAGTTCATCCCTGTTTTTCTGTAAAACTTGATTTGGCCAAGTCTTGATCCATTTTCTGGAATTTGACATGTTCTACATCCTACACCCTAACCTCCACCCTGGTAAGATATTCTGCTAAATAATTTTGAAATGTTCAGCCAAGTTCCTAAGTAACTCCAAATTCCTCTGGAAATCCCCCAACCCTTGGTAACCTCTCAGTCTTGCAGTTTGAGGGGCTATATGAACCCCACTGTCTCCTATGTTCAATGCTATTTTCTCAAATCCCACTTTAAGGAGATACCCCGTCTGACAGAAGGCAAAGCTTGCATAATTTGACCAAATAATTTGGGTAATGGTTTTTATTCTTGTTCAGAGGGATTAACAGTAGAAAGACAGCCTAGTGTGGGGCCAGGGACTGATTCAGGTACAGGACATAGGACACAAATGGGAAGAACATCAAATCTGGTGTCTGGTTCAGCTGGCAGTACTCCATCAGTGTAACTTTCTGGTTCTGATGACTGTGGTCTGACTATATACAATGTAGTAACATGCTGTGCAAAGAATACTGAGCAGTTTTTTTTTTTTTTTTTTTTTTCTCTTTTTTTTTTTTTTTTTTTTTACAATTTTTCTGTATCTAAAACTCATCAAAAGAAAGGCTTGCTTAAAAGAATTAAAACAGTTTTAATAACTTTTCAATTAAAACTCTACTTACAATGATTTACAATTAAAAAGTCAAATATGAGCACTTTATAATTAGTTTACTAAATAAACAAAATAATGGTTTTACAAGAGATTTGACAGTGAGGACATTCACTTTAGTACTTAGAAAACAATCAGAATCTTATTTAAGAGTAGTTGGTTTCTTACTTTAAGTACCACATGGGGTCAGCATCACTTGTAACCTTTTCATTGGCTTTCATTATCTTCTTTATCTGCAGTACAAAACACAGTATTAGGACAGAACTCCGACTTCCACTGGTCCTCAATGTAGGTCTAGTTTGAATCCTGGATGCTTACCTCCACATTAATGAAATAGTTAAAGGAGTCTATGTGCTGTTTCACAAGGCCTTTCACCTAAACAGAGAAAGAACGAAGGGTCAGGAATGGCAATAAAGTACAGGGTGCATGAGTCACTCTGTCCATACACAACCATACAATACTTGTATTCTCAATACAAGTACAGCAAAGATTAATAAATGCATGTGGTTAGAAAAAAATTAAAAGGACCATGTAGTGTCTTATAGTGTGATAAATAACCAATTATTATTAAATATCAAACAAATGATTACCTTTAAAAATGCTGGAAGCAGCCTCCATTTTTCCTGTGGACCAAACAATAAGAACATGAGAACTCTGCACCAATAACCACAAAACACAATTATTTTGATGTACCAAGTTTATCACAGTACAAAGGAAGAAGCACACCAAAATGGGGAAATGTTACAATATAACTGCTATTGCAAATAGCATGTTTATAATAGTACCTATGTACGTGTATCACAGGTTTTCACATACCATGACAGACTCTTTTCACTTATCTTAGTCTCTAAGGAATGGCCCATGGACAACCCAGGGTTTTGTGGCAAACATAGAGACGGGTTTTAACTTCAGTGACCTGAATGGCACTAGGAAGTTCTGAGTGGAAGGGTGACATGATAACTTGGGGCATCATAAATGGATCACTATGGATGCTGGGTGAGCATGAGCAAGGCTGGAAGCAGGGGAGGCCACTTAGCCCAGGCTGGTAATAGTACAGACAGGAAGTGAGAAGTTGTTAGCTTGGAGACATCATCTAGAACAAAGCCAGTAAAATTTGACAACAGACTGGATGGCTCCCCCGAGAAACAGTGAAGTTAAAATTAACAGCAGGGTTTCTGCTCTAAGGTGTAAGAGGCACAAAGCCAGCAGCACTGACAAAGATGAGTGCATAGGAACTTGCATAGGAGCAGCAGGCTTTCAGGGCTTTGGGGTGCTGGGAGTTTGGTTGATGCAGGTTTAGTCTGAGATACCAATTAGACATTCAGGGAGAAATGTCAAATGGGCAGCAGATGTCTGGAACTTAACAGACAGTGTGGCCTGCAGTATAAATTAGATAGCAGTTATTAAAGCCAAAGGACAATGAGCTTATCTAAGGAACAATCGAAAAGAGTTGCACAAAATCATCAACAGTCTAGTGTAGTGGTGTACGCTTTAATCCTAGTCATTTGTGAGGCAGGGCCAGGCAGATCTCTGAGAGTTTGAGGCTATCCTGGTCTACACAGTGAATTCCATGACAGCCAAGGCTACATAGTGAGACCCTGTCTCAAAAATTAAAGAGAGAGAGAGAGAGAGAGAGAGAGAGAGAGAGAGAGAGAGAGAGAAAGAATTTCTAGCATCTAGAAATGAGAATGTGAGGAGGTCCAGAAAGCAAACAAGCCAGTCTCTGATACTACAAAGCATTCATGGGATATAAGTATGGTGTGTGTGTGTGTGTGTGTGTGTGTGTGTGTGTGTGTGTGTAGCTGAGAGGATTATAAGAGAACCTTTTGAGGGAAAGGAAATGTTCTAGAGCATATATGGGGTAACTGTTGCTTAGGTATCTGCAAGTATCAAAACCAAAGCAACCAACACTCAATATCTGTGCAATATTATGTTCCATTATATCCGATTAAACAGAAAAAGAAAAACGATTACAGGTTGAATTAAATTCCTATGCTGACTTCTATGTGGCCTGGCCTACAAGACTGTGGATGACTTGGTGAACACTAACTCAATGTGGCTGGTGCCCCTATAACAAAGGGGAATTTGGACAGACACATTCACGGACACTATCATGTAAAGATGAAGACAGATGTCAGGGTGATACTTGTTATTTTGTTTAAGTTTAAAAATAAAAAAAAAAAAGGTGCAAAATGAGGTTAGAAGGAGAGATACAGTAACTATAGTTTATTACTGGTGAGGGAGGGAGAGCAGGAGTGGGAGTGGAAGAGAGATGCAGAAGAGGAAGAGGGAAAGAGAGAGAGCAGACAGAAGAAAGAGTAAAGAGAAGACAGAGAAGTGACTTAGTGGTCGACCACCGGAAACGAGAGAACAAGAGGGGGGCGCAGGCTTAAAAAGGGGGAGCTTGAGTATGTGCAGAGTCCCTACGAAGTTACACAGCTCCGAACTGCATCATAAGTGACGAACTGCATAATAAGTGGTGTGACACATCACTGTGCTCACCCCACCCACTGTCAGCGGGTGGGGTCTGTCTCTTAAAGAGGTACAGGCAGGTCAGCATTAATGCCTGAACCTTTCATTCCCACCTTTACTTATTATTTTAAAAGGTGGGTTGTTAAGATGTGGCTGGTTAGGGAATAAGGACGTTGAATTCTGATTAAGGTGCTTTTCATTGTGCTAAGAAAATATCTGTCAATTTTAAAATAGGATCAGTCAAGCTGATTCTAACATAAATATGCTGCTAATGTGTACAACACTTAATAATACTTATGTTTTCACAAACTCTAAGGATTCTTGTAAGTTCCAGGGAGCTGAATTGGACCCACCCAAACAGGTCTAAGAGGTGCCAGAGCTTGGGACTATAATGGAGCAACCAGCTACCCCAGGAAGCCCAGGACGTGGCAGTACCCCAGCTTTCTCAGGTCCCCCAAAGATAGTCAATGCCCACTAGGTCAGCAGGAAGTAGTCTTGAGAACTCGACGTCAGATCCCGCCCCCTGACAATGGGTGGGATACACACAGTGATGCATTATGGACCTGTGTGAGGACTCTGCACATGCTTGGCTTTCCCTTTAAAGCTTGTACCTTTCCCCCTTTCTCTCCCTCTCCTCTCTCTGTTTTGGGTGGTCCACCATTAATTCTTCTGTGCTCTGTTCTCCCATTTCTCTCTCCCCCCCTCTCTGCTCTCCTGCCGTAATAAACTCTATAATTAATATGCTCTTTATGCTCTCTAGTTAGTGTTCCATTGCACCGGTGCTAGCCTCATCTCTCGGCTTCTACTTTTCTAACTTTTAAACTTTTACAAAAGAACAACAATACTTCTGTACAAAAAAGACTGTTAGCAAACCAGCAGACACTAGGGAAGAAGCTCTGCTGTAAGACTGATCTTGGACTTCAGTCTTCAGAAATGTGAGAAATCACACTTGTTTTTTATACTCTCAAGTTGTGGTATTTTGTTTCAGCAACCCTATATACTAATCGAACTTTTCAATTTTCTGCTCCCATATTTCAAAATTTTCCCTGGGTGCCCAGTGAAATCCCTCCTATCGCAAAGGCAGGAGTACACAGTCTGTAGTGGAAAGTTCACTGTCTGCTACAAGCACACACTTTCTAATCTCCTCCAGAAAACGGGAAGCCCTCCCTCCCTCCCTTAAATCACCCCAACTCCTGGGTGATTCCACAATCACCTTGTCTATTAGCTTTTTCTTTTAAAACTACTCAAACCTTTGAGCCAGGCATGTGGTAGCATTATCTAATTGCTAGGGCTTAGCAGAACCAGGAGTTCAGGATCAGCCTTGAGTATATAAGTCTAGCCTGGGTTACATGAAATCATGACTCCACAAAGAAAAATGAGAGAATGCATTAACAACATTAACTTGGTGAAGACTTCATGGAAGGTAATAGAAGGCATAAGAATTCTAAACATAATTATCACTCCATGAAATACTCTTTTTTTTTTTTTTTTTTTTTTTTTTTTTTTTTTTTTTAAATTCTCTGTGGCTTTGGAGCCTATCCTGGCACTCACTCTGTAGATCAGGCTGTTCTCAAACTCACAGAGATCCACCTACCTGAGTGCTGGGATTAAAGGCGTGAGCCACCAACACCCGGCCATGAAATACTTTTAAATTTAGGAATCACTGCCCTTTGCACTTACAGTATGGTGGTTTGAGTAAGAATGGACCCAGATGAGCCAGGGCGGTGATCGCTCAGGCCTTTAATCCCAGTGTTCCCTGAGGCGGAGGGAGGTGGATCTCCTTGAGTTCAAAGCTAGCCTTGTCTACAGAGTGAGTTCCAGGACAGCCAAAGCTACACAGCAAAGAGAAACCCTATCCCACGCGCCCCCCCCTCCACCTCCCCACTTCCCACCACCAAAAAAGAAAGGACCCAGAGGCTCATATATCTGAGTGCTTAGTAACCAGGGAGTGGAACTGCCTTAAGGGATTAGGATTAGGAAGTATGGCTTTGTTGGAGGAAGCTTACCATTGTGGGTGGGCTTTGACCTTTCAAAAGCCCATGCCAGGCCCAGTCTCTCTCTCTCCCTCTGCCTGCATACAGACCAGGATGTAAAGTTTTCAGCTACTTGTCTAGCATCATGCATGCCACCAAGCTCCCTGTTATGATGATGATAACGGACTAAGCCCTGAAACTGCTAGTAAGCCCCCAATTAAATGCTTTGGTCGAGGTGTCTCTTCATAGCAATAAACAGTGACTAAACATGGGAATTTATTGTTGTTGTTGTCTTGTTTTTCAAGGCAGGGTTTCTCTATGTAGCTTTGGAGGCTTTCCTGGAACTCTATTTGTAGACCAGGCTGGCACAGAGATTCACCTGCCTCTGCCTCCCTAGTGCTGGAAATAAAGGCATGTGTCACCACCACCTGGACTAAACATAGGATTAAAATCTAAAGTCTTCAACGTGTTTGTTTTACCAAATCTGGCCAGTGCTATTTCTCCAGCCTCTTTCCCACCATTGCTTATTCTACTTATTCTGAGATTTCTTTTCTCTTGTATATTTCTACTTTCTTCTATTTTTTTCCCCCCGCATTCCTATTTGTAGATTAAATTCTGTGTATCCATGATATGACTTCCTTGGAAAGGTAATAAATCTTTCCTACAGTATCTGCCACAGTCCATTGTGTTTCTAATACTGTCAGTTGTTTTTTCCAGTCTTAGTCTCTGTAGTGGGGTTCTGAGGTCTTGGCATTTTTTCCTAAATGAATAACCATAATATTACTGACTTTGCCAAAGAAGTGCCTAGAATCGATAGGCAGTGGTGGAGCAGGCCTTTAATCCCAGCACTCAGGAAGCAGAGACAGGCAGATCTCTGTGAGTTCAAGACCAGCCTGGTCTATAGAGCTAGTTCCAGGACAGGCTCCAAAGTTACACTGAGAATCTGTGTCTTGAAAAACTAAACAGAAGTGCCTAAAATGACACCAGAGACTCATAAATTAGCATTGCACTTATTTATACTAATTTTTTTCAGTTTTGTGAAATAAACTACAATTTCATTGCTGAACTAATGAAGATTAATCTGAACAGTACTTATTAGAGCAATATTTAATAAGATGAATTAAATGAAAATGTCATTTCCTTTTAGCTATTCACTATTCAACTTTCTAACTGATACTCCCTCTACAACTTTCTAGACAGGAGCTCCATTTTATTTGAGTTAATCATTTCTAGTGTATTTTTCCTTCATATTTTTTTCTCTCTTTTTTTTTTTTCTCGAGACAGGGTTTCTCTGTAGCTTTGGAGCCTATCCTGGCACTCGCTCTGGAGACCAGGCTGGCCTCGAACTCACAGAGATCCGCCTGCCTCTGCCTCCCGAGTGCTGGGATTAAAGGTGTGTGCCACCAACGCCCGGCTTTTCCTTCATATTAAATCATGGTAGGAGAAGTTATTCAAGCTTTGAGGGCCAGTTATTACTGACTGATAACAAATATTTGTTGATCTTCTTGAGTACTTACTTGGTAGTGATGTCTTGGCAACTGAAAACAAGTGAACAGATGGACATGCTTCCTGACTTCAGGAGTTTTTAACATAATAAAGGAGCATGTAAGCAAAGGCAATGACACTTAGCAGGCACTGTGATAAAAGTGTGCACAGGGCTCTTTCTAATTCAGTTTGATTTGGTCCCATTTGGATTGCTGGGTTGGTGGAGAGGCTTATCAGGGTATAGAAACTTTTCAGAAGTTGGCAGACTTGAGGACACTGAGGATACGTATGCCTCGCTATGGGTTAGACAAGGCCAGGAGGGTGGATACATGGAAGAGTCTTAAGGTAGTGGATAAGATATGACAGCAGTTTCAGGTGAGCTAGTGTAGTATGGTTCAATGCTGAGTCAGGGCTGGGGAACACAAACAGCAGAAAGCATTGTGAGGCCTGTGTGGAAGATGCAGAGAGTCTCAGCTGATGCTGCAGTTAAAGATGACTGTAAGGAACTTTAAGGAGGTTCCTTACATTAACACTGTAAAACAATACTGTGATCTACAAAATTCACACTTGAGGACCATTACAAAAAAATTTCAAAGAGAAAAAAAGTAAAATACCCTCATAAAGTTTTAAGTTTAAGTTTACAATTTTGTATTGGGCCACCGCTCTTAACTACTCTTAGCTACAGGAACTACAGGTTGGACATGCCTGTGAGCAGCTCCTGTTGATTAGGAGTAGTGAAACACTGTGAAATAAGCAGAACACAAACATAAATACTGTGTACTTTCCCTAACAGAATTTTGGAACTCAGTCTGAGCCACCTACCTCCACACTCCAAATGCTGGGATTATGGGCCCCCAAGCCCTGTTTATATGCAACTCCCTGTTTAAGTGTGATAGTGGGAACAAAACTTGGGTCCTTTGGAAGAGCAGCCAGTGGTATACTCAACCCTTACACTACCTCTCTGTGCCCTAAGAAGGTTTATCATTCAGTACAGTTACTGGTCATGTCACCTCCCTATTTAACCCTTCAAAGGTACCTCCTTTTACCTTCATCTTTTCTATCAACTCTCCCACTTCCCCACTATTACTGGATTTATTTCAGTTCCTCAGAGACACCTGATGGTATTGTTGAAGGTCAGGCATAACCTGTCCCTTTGCCTGAATTTCTCCCCTGATCATCTTCAATGCTAATTCTCCCATTCTATGCCAAAGATTTCGAGGCTCAGAGGGACTGTATGTACCTTCTCAGGATGGATTTAATCATGTCAGTAACTGAACTTCATCAGGCAATTCACTGTGCAGCAATTATTAACTTTTGAGAATCCGATATAGCGCCCCTCAGAAAATACAAGATCAAAAACTGGCGGAAATATTCAAGATCCTTAAAATACGTCTGCAGTCCAAAAAAAAAAAAAACTCTGAGCTAAAAGGAACACGATACGATGGCCGGCGTGGGATTCACATTAACTTTGGCACCAAAGCCGGGACCTCATGAACAGCGCCAAGATGACTCCGGTTCCCCAAGGAAGAATAAGAGGGCCAGTTCTTGACAGTGCAGACCGGCATTAGGAAGGCTTCACCCGAGAGCCATTCGCGGAGGTTCCTAGCCAGGGACACGCCAGACCCAGACCCGAAGACTCACACGCGCGCAGCTCTGGGCATGCGCAGAAGCCTCGGGCCCGCCCCCGCCGGCACCCGTGCTCTCCCGGCAACGCCTCCTGAGTCGCCTCCAGCCTCTTCCGCTGCCTGTCCTCGCGGCGCTTACCTCTACAGTCGGGATCGGCGCAGCCAGCTGCTCCGGGCTGAGGCTCCCGAACTCCTCCGCCAGCACGTCCATTCCCCTCGGGGTAAAGGAAGAAGTCAACAGAAAGTTCACATCCGCCCCGCTGCTCCAAGCAAACAGCACGCGGAGAATGGTGTGCGTTGTCCTAAAGTGTCCCGGCTGCGCTTGTTTACTGGAGGCACTTCAGAAAGGTTCCGCTTAGTCCGGGCCCAACCTGCGGTGTTACCCGGAAGTGACCGACCCGGATGTGGGAAACTGCGCCCCCTGGTGTAGTTCCAAGGTTTCGCCTGGCTAATCCTAGACCCCCGACAGACAGGGTTCTTGCCAATTCCTCAGAATGATTGAGCACGGCCAAATATAGTGTTCTAAATGTATAACTAATCAGAAGAATTACTGGATAGCAGACAGTGACCACAACACGAGCTCCTGAAGCAGAGAATTCGTTTAATTTATTCTAAAGCTATATGTGTTGCCTAGCACAAAAGAGCAACAACTGTTAACCGTGTCTAGTAAAAGTGGTTGGTTACATAATTAGTGGTGCCTGCGTGTAATGGAAAGCCATCAACCGCCGTCAAATGGCCATGACAGGTTGCACTGTAGTAAGTCCTAACACCGTAGTGTTACTTAAACTCGGAGGTGACGGTCTCAGATAAATTACCCGCACACAAGTTTAGCGTGGAAAGATTTACTCGTTTAAATGGGTAGGTGAATGATAAATAAGTAAATTAAATCAATAAATAGGAAGGACATTACTGCATCTAGGTATTGTGGAGGAGAAAGTTTACTGTTGATAAAAGGGTGAGCATAGCTAGAGACAGGGACATCTGGGATAGTCTAGAGTGGACATGACCCTGAGCCATGTGAGGAGGAGGGGCAGGAACAGCAGCAATGAGGGCAAAAAGTTAAAGCAGGGGGAAGAGAGCAGGTAACCAAAATGTTTGGATTATATAGGGAAGGGTGGCCAGCCCCTGGGCTGAAGAGTTGGGGGAAGGAGGGAGAGGGCGGGTTAAGCCAGCCATACCCTGTAACAGGAAGTCCCTGAGGGAGGCTGGAAGAACCTGGTGGCCAGGTTTACTTTGATAAATATGCCTACTTCTTCAGGGATTTACGACCTAACTGTAGAGAAAATCCAATAATTGATATTAGAATAGCTAATTAGCAGTTTTGGGGAAAGACAGATCTAAACCCTACATAGATTAGATATTTCAATGTATGTTAACAAAACATAGACGAAGGTGTAAGAGGTGGGGAGTCTGTAGAGTGCTTGGTAGGTGGAACCAAGGCATGGGTTTGGTCCACACTACAACGAATAAACCTGGGGCTGCATAGACATCTCACAGGGTGGCACATACCTCTAATCCCAGCATTTAGAAGGTGAGGGTAGGAGGATCGATCAGAAGCTCAAGGGCATCATTAGCTAGCTACCAAGTTTGAGGCCAGCCTGGGCTACATGAAACCCTGTCTCCAAAGAAAATGGAATGTATTAAAAAACATTGATATGGTGAAGGATTTCAAGGATGAAAACAGAGAAAGCATAAGATTTGCTAATAGAATTTTAAAGTTTTACCATTCTGTGAAAAAAACCTTAAATTTCAGAACACACTGATAAAAACAAAACAAAACAAAAAACTCTGTGAGTAGTTAAACATACAGAGAGAGTTGGTAGAAGAAAGACAAAGGGATTTATTTGCCTCTGTAATTTGAAAATGAGTTCATGCAAATCCAATGGGAAGAAAAATCCCACAGAAAGAAAATGTAAAAGACACCAACAGTTTAATGGATAGAGTTCCAATCTGGGGAATGCAAAAGTTGTGGCAATAGATGGTGTCATGAGTGTGCACAGTGCTGCTGAATTGTGCACACCATTCAATAGTTGAAACCATTGGAAGGAAGTTCTTAAAATTTCTAAGTATAAGCTTCCTGATTTGTTTTTCAGCCTGGCCCCAAGTCTACTTACTGAGTTAGCTACTTAAATTTCAATGCTTCTATCTTCTAAATGTTGTGCTGACGGACTTCTCAAAGTATGAGAAGCAGCAGCAGCAGCAGCAGCAGCAGCAGCCGGGCGTTGGTGGCGCACGCCTTTAATCCCAGCACTCGGGAGGCAGAGGCAGAGGCAGA